TATTTCATAATTGTTGATCATATTATCATTTCGAGTGAAAGTTTTTGGTAGAGAGATTCGTTTTCTGGTGAAACAGACCTTCGAATCTCTCCAGTAAACACCTTCACTCGAAATGGAGGTAAGCTTAACAATTATGAAATTCACTAGACTTATAAGTCGGTCTACTCTTAGAATTGTGAAAAAATCCAACTATCACACCTTCCGCAACTTGTTCTCGTTGTCAAAGTGACCTAGCTGAGCACACCTTTTTCATAGTAGTAATGCTGATTTCTACAATCGGGTCGTGGATTTGGTACATTTCTACTTGTTAAATGTAGACGAACTGTCTTCAATTGTAAATAAGCGTATTTCTTTTGCCTTGGATACCAGATCTTGAAGCTTCGTAGTTGTCTCGTCAATTCGACTTAATAATCGTCTTCCCTTGATTTCCTATTTCTCCTCAACTTGGTCTCGTTGTCAAGGTGACGTAGCTGAGCACACTATTTGTCATAGTAGTCATGCTAATTTCTACAATCAGATCGTGGACTTGGTACATTTCTACTTTTAAGATGCAGACGAACTGTCTTCAATTGTAAATAAGCGTATTTCTTTTGCCTTGGATATTAGATCTCGAAGCTTCGTAGTTGTCTTCTCGATTCGACTTACTAATCGTCTTCACTTTATTTCCAATTTCTCTTCATCTTCTCCTTCATTGTGTTCCCTTTGCCTCAGGTTGGCCAAAGATTCTGGCTGCTTGCATCGATTTTGCTTGATCAATCGACAAAGTTATCGCAAATTCTGCATTTTCTCTGCATGAGGCAATCTTGTTTGAAGATATGAAGAAGAGCTGAGTTTCGAAGAATTCCGTATTGAAATATTGTAGCATGACTTTGCATTTCGCAAAGAAAGTTGGTTGGAAGGAATTCGTGTTGTGGTCCTACCGGAAGCCGAAGTAGGATTTTTGCGAGAGGAATACTGTTGAATTGTGCAAACAAGTCCTCGACTTGCCGTTCTGCGATTTCGATGAAACTATGCTAAGCTTTCGTCTGTACCACCGTGACATGCATCATTGAAGAAAGCTTCCACAAAATTACGAAATAGAGCAAAAAATCTACCAAATCAAGAGAAAAGGTAGCCGGCTGCAACCCTAATCGCTTTTGCTGTACACCCAACCTTGCTCTACATGCTTGCAAATGAGTGCAGTTAACTTCCCAAACCGGAAGAGCGTTCGGTGGCAGCTGTTTCATGGCACAAAACGCGTAACAATTCTTCCTCCGTTTTCGGTGAGACAACATCACGAATTCCTTCCAACCAACTTTTCCTTCGAAATGGACAGTCATGCCACAATTTTATGTGAACACATTCATTTCGTATGGAAGTACATGATGAAGATATTCAAAGATCAATCACACCATAAGACGTCGGTTATTTCGCGTTGTACTCCGGCCGTTTGGCCTCGTTACAACATTCCGGTTGATGAGGTCGACATGACATCCTCCAACGTTTCGAGCGGAAATGAGTTGAGCTTTCGTTGAGGATGTCTCGTGGATTGCATCAGCCTGAACATCGTATTACGGCCAAACGGCTGTAGTACAGCGCGAATCCGTCAGCGTCTTCTGGTCAGATTGACTTACGAGTCTCTTCATCGTGTATTTCCATACGAAATGAAATTCTTCACATCAACATTGCCTAATGCAGAGAAAAAGCAGAATTGGCGATAACGTTTGTCGATTGCTAAAACAAACTCGAAGCAAGCAGCCAGAATCTTTGATTAACCTGAGGCAAAGTGAACACGATGAAGTAGTAGATGAGGAGAAATAGGAAATAAAGTGAAGACGATTAGTAAGTCGAATCGAGGAAACAACTACCAAGCTTCGAGGTCTGGTATCCAAGGCAAAAAAATACGGATATTTACAATTGAAGACAGTTCTTCTACATTTAACAAGTAGAAATGTACCAAGTCCACGATCCGATTGTAGAAATTAGCATGACTACTATGACAAAGGTGTGCTCAGCTAGGCCACCATGACAACGAGACCAAGTTGAGGATAAATAGGAAATCGAGGGAAGACGATTAGTAAGTCGAATCGAGGAGACAACTACGAGGTTCAGAGGTGTGGTGCACAAGGGAAAAGAAATACGGTTAGTCACAAATGCAGACAGTTTTTTTACATTTAGCATGTGAAAATGTACCATAGTAAATGAAAGTCTTCACATCAATCTTATCGCAGAAGATGCCTCGAAACACGAATTTTCTTCGTCTATGAGGCTCTATTATCTGTCACTTTCCAGACGATATTGTGTCTATTTTGTGCAATGCCGTCAGCAAAGTTTTAGACTCTTGTCTGATGAGGCTAGAGCAGACGTGCCATCAAGCGCAGAGGATGGCTGACACGAGATAAGACCACAACTGTCATGGGCGCATTGACAGAGTCTGAGTGAATTAGATGAATAAGAACTTTATCAGATCGTGTCGCTTAAACTGCGACCATACCAGAGGTCACACCATCTTGGTCTTCATGCTTTGATTTAAAGATTGACAGTTGTTATGCAAAAATTGCAAATAGTCTCCTAAAACTACTTACATCGAAATGAAGCAACTTCGTCAATGGCATTGACATACGCAAGCTTATGTGAAGAAGAGTTAAATTTCAACCAATCTCTTGCTTCATACTGGTTGAGCTCACTTTCATTTTGAGCGAAATTGTATTGTTTGATTATGATTCTAATCATGGCCACTTTTCTTCACCGTTTAGTCCCCTCTTTCTCTTTTACATGAAGAGAAAACGTTCATCGACATAAACGGACTTGTGTCTGACCTGGAGTGCTGGTTGAAAAAAATAAAATAAATATATTTTGATAAAGGCTGATGGTGATCATCAAACCTTGATGATCGAGAATAGCATCTACATTTTTAATCTAATTACTTTGAGCCATCACTTTTGGTCTTGTACATATACAAACATATGAAGACATGTGAACACATCAAAACAGGTACATGCACATGCTTCGAGATTGAAAGATAACTCCATCCAACCAAATCATTTTATACCTTATCAAAGAATTTATATTTGGGGTTTATATAAGACACTCATAAATGAGCCTGTAAGTCTTCATGTTTCGTTAGCTTGAATATAATTGTACAAATGATACTCCGATGGACGAAAGCTTAGCATAAGAGATATATCCAGCGTATTTCGTTTAAAGTGATGAAGGACTGGCAGTAAAACTTTCCCAAATATGATTGTGGGAGAATTCTATTAGCAGTCCTGCATCACTTTAAACGAAATAGGGTAAATACATCGCATATAACTGATTTACTGATAATCTCGAAACTCTGTTTATATACAAAAAAAAGAAAGCCCGGCATGCTTTAAACGTAATCAAAAGTAATCGGAAACAGCGTCAACAAGAATTTTCCAGGAAATCCAATCGGCCCTTGGTCAAAAGGAATCCACTATCTTCATCTGGTGGGCTCGACCTTAGGATCTATTCACCAAACACATTCATTTGAAATGGAAGTGACCACAACAAACCCATGCTTAGTTGAGGGTATGCAGACCAAGATGGTATGGCCTTTTGTATGGTCGCACTTTATCGTTTAATTGTATAGAAATTGTTTGATTTTGTCTTCGCAACTTGGTCATTTTGACAGAAAGACGTAGAGGCACGCACCTAGTCCGGAGTCTATGGTATACATGATGGGTTGCAGGGTCGGAAAATCAATGTGGTACATTCCCAGACGTTTCTCTGACATCGTCAGTGAGTATCGCCATTCATAGCATCACACGACAACTCGTCAAAGAGACAAGTGAAGCCGATCTTCGGTTGAAGGATTTTATTTCGATATGAGAAGCAATTCAGTTAACATAGGCCACTTCATGCGATTTATCGACTTCTAATCGAGTTTTCACACACACACACACACACACACATACGCACACACACACACTCATGTGAGTAGGGCACTAGGAAAACCGTTGAATTTTACACTTGGTTGAGTCATGAGTATTGTGAGGAAGTTTCCAATCCGCCACTCCATCACATTTTCACATGTGCCAGATGCATTTCAAGAAAGGCCAGACATTTATTTGCTATATCAAACGAATACATTAATTATTTTTCGTGGACAAGTAGTTTTTTGAGACTACCAGTAGATTTTTTATAAGAACTTTATTCCTGCACCACATAATAGGATATGGGAAATGACCTGGCCTTCCTTACAATTCACATACGCCCTGTGACCCGATGGCAATAAAGTATGGAGATTATATGATGCACGAACACAAAACGGATTCCAGTCCTGCTTGGGGTGCTGATGATATCACCACAGGCGAGGTCGAAACTGCGTTGCACTTCTGTCAGGAAGCGAGAATGAGTGTAAAAGTTAACGTAAACATGAGACCCACTCAATTGACTATGGGAAAATTTAAATACCAGCTCTAAATTACCGCAAAGAAATAGAGGAAATAAGTTTCATATATATTAAGTCACTCAGTAAATCGCTCAAATAATGGATTTCCAGGTAAAACATTAAAGAAAATGATAAATTGACTCAATATGCACAAATACATGAAAAATTTAGTCATTTATTTATTCATATAGATAATTATTAATACAAAAATACATTCATTTTAGCCATAAATAAGTCGGTCATTCTTTAAACGTTTAAATGAATAAATAATTTAGTCAACACAAAGCACATTCATTGTAACAATAGGTAATTACCACATTCATTCATTCAGTCACTCAGTAATTACCCAAACAATGCATTGGCTTGCGCAAAGGTAAATTAAATAATAAATTCACACAAAATGCACAAATAATTAAATAATTTAGTCAACCCTTTATTCATTGAGACAAGCATTCATACAAAAATCCATTCACTTATGCCATAAGTAAGTCGTTCAATCGTATAACGTTTACATCAAAACATAATTTAGTCAAAACGATGCACATTAATTCTAACAATAAGTAATTAACACATTTATTCATTCAGTATCTCAGAAATTAATCAAACAATGCATTGGTATGTGCACAGGTTAATAAAATGATAAATTCACTCAAAAATGCAGAAATACTTGAATAATTTTGTGATTTATTTATTGATCTAAACAATCATTCATACAAAATACATTCATTTATGCCATAATTTATTCATTCATTCGTATAAAGTTTAAATGAATATATAATTTAGTCAACAAAAAATACATTCATTCTAAAAATAACCAATTGTAAGATGCATTCATTCAGTCACTCCATATTTACTCAAACAATGCTTTGGCTGGTGCATAGATTAATAAATTGATAAATTCAATCAAAAATGCACAAAGCTAGAATAATTTTGTCATTTATTTTTTGATCTAGACAATCATTCATACAAAATAAAATCATTTCTGCCATAATTAAGTCGTTTATTTATATAACGTCTGAATGAATACATAATTTAGTCATCATAAATAACATTTATTCTAACAATAACTAATTACCATATCGATTTAGTCAGTTACTTAGTATTTACACGAAAAATGCATTGTCTGGCGAAAAGCTAAATAAAATTATAAATTTACTGAAAAAATGCACAAATAATTGAATAATTTAGTAATATATTTATTCACTTACACCATCTTTGATACATACATCTTGTTAATAATGCCATATTAAAGTCGTTCATTCGTAAAATATTAAATTAATACATAATTAAATTAACACAATGAAGATTTAAATTAATAATAATAAATTACCACATGCATTTATTTAGTCACTCATTAATTACTCAAAAAATGTATTCGCTTGAACAAAGATAAATAAAATTATATATTTACTGAAAGATGCAAAAACAAGTGAATAATTTATTCATTTATTATATATTTAATGCGTTCATTTGTATAACGTTTAAATGATAACAAAATTTAGTTAACACAATGCACATTCAGTCTAATAATAACTAATTAACGCATGTTTTCCTTCAGTGACTCATTACTTACTAAAAAAATACATTGGCTAGTGCAAAGATAAATAAAATTATAAATTTACTGAATGATGCACAAATACTTAAATAATTTAATCATTTATTTATTCATCTAGATAATCATTCATACAAAAAAACATTCATTTACGCCTTAATTAAGTCGTTCATTCGAATAACGTTTAAATGTTTATTTAATTTAGTTAACACAATGCACATTCTTTCTAACAATTACTAAGTAACACATGCTTTCATTCAGACACTTAGAAATTACTCAATAAATGGATTTATTGATGCAAAGATCAAGAAAATGATAAATTCACTAAAAATGCACAAATAGTTGGATTATTTAGTCATTTATTTATTCATCTAGACAATCATTCATAAATATATCACTTCATTTATGCCATACTTAATTGATCATTCGTATAAGGTTTAAATTAATATGAATTAAGTAAGCACAATGCACATTTATTTAACAAAAACTAATTACTGCATGCATTTATACACTCACTCATTAATTATTCAACAATAAATTAGAAGCGCAAAGATTAAAAAATATAAATTCACTGAAAGATGCACAAATAATTTAATAATTTAAACATTTATTTATTAATCTAGCCAATCAATTATAGAAAAATCCCTTTAATTAGGCCATAATAAAGTCGTTCATTCGTACAACGTTTAAATAAATACATAATAAAGTAAAAAACTAAGTACATTTATTCTATCAACAACTAATTAAATCATGCATTAATTGAGTCACACGGTAATTATTCAAACAATGAATCAGCTGGCGCAATGATAAATAAATAAATTTACTGAAAGCTGCACAAATAATTGAATATATTACTTATTTTTTTATAAATATAGAGAATCATTCATATATATTTATTTATTTATGCCAAAATCAATTCGTTTATTCTTATAACATTAAATTAATACATAATTTAGTCAACACAATGCACATTAATTCTAAAAATAACTAATTACCACATGCAATTATTCTGTCACTCAGTAATTACTAAAACCATGCCTCTGCTGGCGCAAAGATAAATTATATTATAAATTTACTGAAGGCTGACAAATAATTGAATAATTTACTAATTATTTATTAATATTGACAATCATTCATACATATATCTCTTAATTTATGCCATATTTAAGTCGTTTATTTGTATAACATTAAATTAATACATAATTAAGTTAACACAATGCACATTCAATCTAACAATTACTAATTACAAAATGTATTCATTCAGTCACTCATTAATTACCCAAAAAAAGCATCCTTTGACGCAATGATAAATGAAATTATAAATTCACTGAAAGATGCAGAAACAATTGAATAATTTAGTCATTTATTTATTCATTTAGACAAACATTCATACAAAAGACATTGTTTTATGCCTTATTTAATTTGTTCACTCCTATTACAATTAAAGTATTACATAAATTAGTCAACACAATACACCTTCATTCAGTCACTCATTAATTACTAAAAAAGATGCATTGGCTAGTGCAAAGATAAATAAATAATATATATTTCCTGAAATTTCTACAAATAATTAAATAAGCTATTCATTTATTAAAACACATAAACATTCATTCGTACAGAAATCACTTCATTTATGGCATAATTATGTCGTTCATTCGTATAACGTTTAATTTAATACATAAATTAGTCAACGCAATGCACATTCATTCTAACAATAAATAATTAACTAATGAATTCATTTAGTCACTCAGTAATTATTCAACAATGCATTAGCTGGCGCAAAGATAAATAAAATTGTAAACTCACTCAAAAATGCACAAATACTTGAAAATTATAATCATTTATTTATTCATATAGACAATAATTCATATATAAGTCACTTCACTTATGCTATAATTAAGTGATTCATTCGTATAACGTTTAAATGAACAAATAATTTAGTTAACATAATGCACAATTATTATAGCAATAATTAATAACACATGCTTTTATTTAGTCACTCAGTATTTACTAACTCGAAATTGAACATATACTTAAATAAATTAGTCATTTATTTATTAATATAGACAATAATTCGTATAACGTATAAGTGAATACATAATATAGTCAACAGAATGCACGCTAATTCTAACAATAACTAATCAAAACATGCATTCATTTAGTCACTCAGTAATTACTCAAACAATGAATTTGCTGGCGCACGGATTAATAAAATGATAAATTCACTTATAAATGCACAAATACATGAATAATTAAGTCCTTTATTTATTCATCTAGATCTCTTCTTTTATGCAATAATTAAGACGTTCATTTGTATAACGTTAAAATCAATACTTAATTCATTCAACACAAAGCAAATTCATTCTAACAATAGCCAATTATCACATGCATTCATTCAGTCACTTATTTATTACTCAAACATTGCATTAGCTGACGCAAAGATTAATAAAATGATAAATTCTTTCGAAAATGCACAAATAATTAAATAATTTATTCTAAAATAAGTACTTTTTATGCCATATTTAAGACGTTCATTCTTATAACGTTTAAAGCAATACAATGAAAATATACTTAATTAATTCATTTATTTAGTCATATAGACAATCATGCACACTTTAATCCCTTTTTTATGCCATAATTAAGTCGTTTATTCGTTCTTTCAACTACCAGCTCTTAGTTACCTCTACAAAATAGAGTGAACACTTCCCATTTATACCATTACATCATCATGCCTATCGCCCTAATCGAGGTCGCCTTGACAATCGGAGCAAGTTGCCGAGACGAGGGCAGACGAGTCTTTTTCACCAAATTCCACTGCCATTCCACGTGCACCTGATGCTTAGCGATATCGTTTTTGCGCCACTTCTCTTCCGGTCCATCCATGCGCGACAGAAGACGTCTGCTGTAAAGCAAAATGTCGTTTTTAATGCAACCAAAAATGCACACAAACTGAGGCAATGTTGACAAGAGACGGCATCACACGTTGTCGGTGGAGCGACGCTGTCGGCCGGCCTCGGTCAGACCGGCGGCCACCTCTTGTCCGTGCAGTCGGTAGCGCCGACATGTGCTCATCAAACTGTACTCGGTGATGTAGAGCAGATTGCGAGAATCACGTACCACCGACTTGGTCTCGTGCCAGGCCAGACCGGCGGCCTCGGCGGCGCTGGCTCGCTCGTCGGGGTCCAGCTGGAACAGTCGAGCCAAATGGCCGAGGAATTCGCCGCCGAGACAGACGAGCAGCGGATGCCGGAGCGCGTGAAGTGTGCCGTGCGTGTGCAGAGCTCGTCGCATCTCGGCCAGACTGGTACCGCGAAACGGCGCCAATCCGGTCAGCGCGATCACACCAATCACACCCACCGCCCACACGTCCATCTGCGGCGTCCGTCGCAGCATGGCCGCCTCCAAATGCGCCATTTCCTGCTGCAGCTCATCGGCCAACTGCGACGTCGACGTCGACGTCGACGCCAACGGCGACGGCGACGGCGACGAGGCGGATTGGAGGAAATCGCCGTCGACGTCGGCGTGAAGACGGCGAGTCATGGCCTGTTTGTCCTCCCATTCGAGCGCCAGCTCGACCAGCTCTGGCGCGTAGCCGTCGAGGATGCCGCAGTGCTGGCCGACGACGAGGGTGAGTTCGTTCTTCAAGCTCAAGTCGGGCGACAAGACGACCGACTGCGGCGACGAACTGTGGAAGAGCACATGCGTCGGCATGAGGGCGCCGTGGACCAGACCCTGCGAGTGCAGGTAGGCCAGCGCCTGGAAGAGGTAGTGCAGCACGAAGCAGACGTCGCGGAATCGGATGCTCGACTGCAACAGGATCCAGTTGAACAGGTCGCCCGACTGGCACATTTCGCTCATCACAATCACACGACGCGGCTCTCGGATGCACTCGGTCACTCGGCCCAACGAGATGTGGTTCAACTTGCGCAATCGCGACATCTGCTGGCGCAGCTTCTTCAGGTAGGCCCGTTGCAAGCGGATGATCTGGCCGCGACTCATGCCCAGCGCGAGCAGGTTGGCGAAGTCCACCTTCTTGAGGACGACCGAGCCGCCGGTGGCGAGATCGCGAGCCGCCACGATCGAGCTGAAGCCGGAGTAGTAGAGCTCGCGGTAGATCAACAGCTTCTCCTCGTCGAACGTCGGAGTGGCCAGCGTGAGGCCGGTCGAGGAGCCGGTCATGCCGGTCGGTGGGCGCGTGTTCGAGCCCGGTCTACGCGAACGGCGAGTCGACTGGGCCAGACAGACGCGGCATTAGGCGAGGTCTCGAGCTGCAGCTCGTGGACTGGCCTCGTGCGGGATGAGGGATTCAGCTCCTTTGCAGACTGGACAAGTCCGGCCGCGAGCACATTGGACTGGAGGCGAATGGCACAGGCCATCGATCTGGTGAAACGAATCAAATGGAGATTCAATCATTCATTCAGTCATTGCTTTTTTCTGTCATTAATTCATTTCTTATTTGCTTTATTTATTCAATCATAATTATTTTATTACTTCATTCATTCATTCCAATAATTCAACATTCGGTGAATCATATATTCCTTCATTCCTTCATTGATTAATTCCATCATTTGTTCATTGCTTCCTTTAATTATTCTTTCATTTATTCATCATTTCGTTGCTTCATTCTTTCATTCCTTCATTACTTCATTCCTTCATTTCTTAATTCCTTCATATGTTCATTCCTTCCTTAAATTATTCTTTCATTTATTCATCTTTTCGTTCCTTCATTCTTTCATTCCTTCATTACTTCATTCCTTCATTTCTTAATTCCTTCATTTGTTCATTCCCTTCTTTAATTATTCTTTTATTTATTCAGCTTTTCGTTCCCTTATTCTTTCATTCCTTCATTCCTTCATTTCTTAATTCCTTTATTTCTTAATTCCTTTATTTGTTCATTCCATCCTTTAATTATTCTTTTATTAATTCAGATTTTCGTTCCCGTATTCTTTCATTCCTTTCTTCCTTCATTTCTTAATTTCTTAATTACTTAATTCCTTCATTTGTTCATTCCTTCCTTTAATAATTCTTACATTTATTCATCTTTTGGTTCATTCATTCCTTCATTCCTTCATT